AGGAGGAGGAAGCTACAAAAGCTATCTCAATGATAATGATATGCAAAAATTGTTCAACATCTTATTTTTTTTTTTTTACCTTACACCACACCCCGCTTCTTCTTGATGCTATTTGATGATGATGATAGCAAAATGGTATTGATACCTTGTTATGGAAAGAATGACAATTTGTTAGGGAAGAAAGAGAACGGGAAGTATGGAGGGTGGGGGGGGGGGGTAGGGAGAAATGATTAAAAGGGAGAAAGAATTATAAATGAAAACTGTTACTCTACTTCCTCTTCCTCCTCCACCTCCTCCTCTTCCTCCTCCTCTTCCTCTTCCTCTTCCTCCTCCTTCTGCCCTCCTCTTCCTACTCAATAAGCATGATATTTGAAGCCTTTTAAAATATTGCGGGGTAGAAAAAAAAAAAAAAAGAATATGAAAAGGTGAAAGGAGGGAAAAAAAGAAGAAAGGCATTATCATCTTCCTCCTCATTATTATTATTATTATAATGTCATCATCATCATCATTATTATCATCATCGTCATCATCATTACTAATACGTGTTAAATGAAACAAGCGGGGGAGTAAAAGAAGGTTAGATATGATAAAGCGGGAAGGGAAAGGGAAAAAAGGTATGGGATGAGAAGAATGTTAGGAAAAAAAAAAAAAAAAAGAGGGAAGAAGCAAAAGGATCAATTTGATGGTGGAAATAAATTTTTTTTTTTTTCAATTTTTTTTTTCCCGCTTATTTTTGCTTTCTTTGAATTATCTATCGATATTGGTGGACAGACAAATGTACACATAATGCATACACACATACACGCATATACATCCACACATGCTTACGTATGTATGTAAATTTTAAATGAAAATGCCAATAAGCACACATGCACACACATACACATACATATACATAAGCACACATGCGCACACATGCACACATACATACACACACACACACACATATACATATACACACATATACACACACATACATATACACACAGATACACACATACATATACATACACATACATATACATACGCATGCATGTGCACACATGCACACATACACACACACGTATACACACGTACATATACTCACATACACATGCACACACATACACACACGTACATATATGTACGCATACATGCGCACACATGCACACATACACACATACACACGCACACACACATACACACACATGGACACGTACATCACTGTTATTTTTTTTTTATTGTTCATAAAAGAAGGATGATGATCGTTAATTAATTAATTAATTAATTAATTAATTAATTACTAATAAATCAACAATTTTATGGCAAAATTCATTTTTATGAGCAAAGTGAATAGATGAAATAGTAGGCTAAAAGGGATAATTTTGATAAAATTAATGTAGCTTACTGATAATGTATTTGTTTTTTTTTTTTAATTTTGCTGTTATAATTGAATGAAATATTTTAATTGATGTTATTCATTAAGAGACGAGAAATAATTTGGAGAATTTTGAATAAAAGCAAAAAAAGAAAAAAAAATGTGGAAAAGAGGACAAAGAAGGGTCATGACCTTATAAGCTTAGGCTTAGCATAAATTTAATTTAACAGAAATAGGCATAATTTGTTTATGTTAAAATATATCGAAGTATTCCAAACTTTTTTTTCTTTTTCATTTCCCACAAAATTATTAATTGATTAAAATTTGATTCGTTCATCTAATTTGATCATTTTTTTTTTTTTTTATTATTTTATGCTTTACATTTAAATTTTATAATAGAATTTTTAATTTTACCAATTAAATAAATTGTAATATTTGTTGATTAGCATTTTTATAAATATTTCATTATTCAAAAAATAACAATATTCATGCGCCAATATTGATAATCAAAATTGATTAATTAAATTAAAATTTCTTTCATTCAATTTACTTGTTCTCTCTCTCTTTTCNCTCTCTCTCTCTCTCCTCCTCTCTCTC